CAGAGGAAGCAACAAGATGCCCAGGTAACCTCCCCGGTCAAGCCGAGAACGCCGTTCTCGGTAGAATTTGACAAATTCGAAGCACCGAAGAGGTTTAGCATGCCAAGATTCCAGATCTATGACGGTAAGTCGGACCCCAACCTTCACGTCGGCTTGTACCTGAACTCGATGGCGTTGTACACCGGGAACGAGTCATTGCTCTGCAAAGTGTTCCCCTCATCCTTTGGAGAAATTGCATCGGACTGGTTTCACAAGTTGCCGAAAGGAACTGTGAAAACCTGGGAGGGCCTGGCCGAGATGTTTATGGCCAGGTTCGTGACAAACAAGCTACAACCATCAAGGGTGGACGCCCTAATGGACCTGAAGATCGGCGAGGATGAAAGCCTTATGGCCTATGCCAAAAGGTATTATGAGGTATTCAATCGAATACCAGGATGTAACCAAGAGGTGGCGGTCGTGTCGTTTAAAAACGGCTTGAAGGATGACTGCCTGTTTCAAAAATCACTAGCAAAGATATTGCCGAAAAGCATGGAGGAGCTGATGGCCAGGATAGAAAAGTATACCAGAGCCGAGGAAGACACGCCGAGGACAAAGGCGTCCAAACAAGAGAAGAGAAATGGTTCGCCAAAGCGAAACCGAGATAACACTGGATATGAGAAAACAAGAGCTTAGCCCAAGTGAGCAGATCCCGGATTCCAGATCACAGAAGACAAGATCTCGGCCTAGATGATTAAGTTCGAGAAGAGAAGAGCTTGGCTTAAATTAAAGAATTTTTATATAAGGTCCACAAAGGAGTATGTGGAAGCCATGCAGAGGGTAGATCCCTTGCCTATAGAGCAATATCGTAGGGATTCTTTTGGCCTTACATGCAAAAGGAAGCTGAAGCCTATGTAAAAAAGCATGAAAAAGCTTTGAAATCCACCTGCAACATGCGACAGAACAGCAATTCGGCTAGGGGCATACCAGCAACAACTTGCTAGGGCTTACAACAAGAAAGTCAGCCCAAGAGAGTTCAAAGTTAGGGACCTTAGCCTAAGAAAGGTTGCCGGCAATGGGGCATAACAGCTGAAGTGCTAGTTTGATTTTTGAAATCTGTGCGATAGGACCGACCAGTCCTATGACGATGTTTCTGATTGAAATATGACGAATAACTTAGACATACTATATGGCAGAGTAAAAACTTTACTTGCATATAATAAAGTTGAACTAAGTTGGGTTAACCTGGACTTGTCATATCGGCAAAATCAGACACAGATATGAGCTAAGTGCCTTAGTAAAGAGACCAAGGTTAATAACCTCGGCCAGCCTTTGTTTGAATCTTACATCGGTGACGAGGTCAAAGCCACATGCCTAATAAGAACCCAAGTGGAACTTAAGTTCACATTAGGGGGCAAAGGGCTGAAGAATGATGCTTAGGAGTTGGAATTTCACAAGCTAAGATTGGTTTAGACACTTGTTGAAATTTAAATTTACAAGTTGAAGTTAAACCGAGGACGTGTTTAACACTTGTTGAAATTGAAATTTACAAGTTGAAGTTAAACCGAGGTCATTTTTAACACTTGTTGAAATTGAAATTTACAAGTTGAAGTTAAACCGAGGACGCGTTTAACACTTGTTGAAATTGAAATTTACAAGTTGAAGTTAAACCGATGAGGTGTTTAACACTTGTTGAAATTGAAATTTACAAGTTGATGTTAAACCGAGGTCATGTTTAACACTTGTTGAAATTGAAATTTACAAGTTGAAGTTAAACCGAGGAGGTGTTTAACACTTGTTGAAATTGAAATTTACAAGTTGAAGTTAAACCGAGGAGGTGTTTAACACTTGTTCAAATTGAAACACTTGTTGAAATTGAAATTTACAAGTTGAAGTTAAGCCGAGGAGGTGTTTAACACTTGTTGAAATTGAAATTTACAAGTTGAAGTTAAACCGAGGTCGTGTTTAACACTTGTTGAAATTGAAATTTGCAAGTTGAAGTTAAACCGAGGACGTGTTTAACACTTGTTAAAATTCAAATTTACAAGTTGAAGTTAAACCAATGAGGTGTTTAACACTTGTTGAAATTTAAGTTTACAAGTTGAAGTTAAACCGAGGTCAGGTTTAATGCTTGTTGAAATTTAAGTTTACAAGTTGAAGTTAACCGAGGTTATGATAAAAAAAGATTGGTTTAAACACTTGTTAAAATTTTGAGAAAAATTTACAAGTTAAGCCAAGGTTATGTTAAAAGAAATATCTACATACTTGCCGAGATTACCATGTTGCCAAGACTTGGAAGAAATTTGAAAATAGAAGTCTTGCTAAGAGTGAAGTATCGAGTTGTAAATAACACTTGTGAAAATATTGTAAAAAATATTTTCAAGTGTTAAGCCAAGGCTGAGATTAACCGATTAGTGGGTACAACCGAGGTATTACACCCCGAGGAGATTCCACAGTTAAGGTGTATTTTGAAGACATGCAAATTATTTAAAGTATAGAATCATACAAGAGTAAAAAGAAGACACATACAACTACGTTGAAAGAAGAAATTAAAGAATGCATTCAGAAAAGGAAAGAAGGCACTTCGGCCTAATATTGAAGAATGATTGTTTAGATTACAAAAAGGTCGGTGTACGCCGGTGTCAGACGATGGTAGTAAGCAAAGAAGTGCAATGAAAGCCTCACCGGATGGAGAGAGTGAAACTGGTTGCAGAAAGCTTCACAAAAGCAACAATAGAGGATTTGAGAGAGAAAGTTTGAATAAGAATGAAGATGCAGAAGTTAAAAGACGGAGAGAGAGTTGATTTTGATCAAAAACATGAAATGGCAGCAAAATGGCAATTGTGGTGCCTTGGACGACGTGCTTGTCAGACGGCGCACGCAAAAGCGATGCGACTTGATAGCGCGTATCAGGTATGGTCCAGTAGGGGAATGATGCGTGGTAAAAACGGTTGAAATACTATGCGTGCCAGCTCATACGCGTGCTGGAACTCTTGGAGTTCTTGATTCAAATAAAGCAAATACCTCAGCTAGGAGGACGGTATCGGCTGAGAAACTTGAACGAACTTGGTCGTTGGTTCTAAAGCATTGATGAAAGCAGACTATAGGTCTTGGTCATATTGAGCCAACGAGTTCTGACTTCGGCAATAGTTGATGAAGCGAGCTTAGCCGACGTGCTAAATGGAAGAAATGATATAGGTTCCATCACCTCAGGATGCTGAGGTAATAGAACCTAGGGGGTAGTTGTGGGGACATAATTTTTGAATGATAACACGTGGCCGAGGTGTCACTGAAGTACCAGTCGAGGTGCCACGTGTCCTAGTCATGGAGCCGAGATCTCGGCTAGACCGAGGTTATCTACTGAGATACCAGAATCCGGGATAAGCGGATAAGGGACAAGAGTCTTAGAATAGGAGAGGACTTCAGTTTGGGTAAAGATAAGACTCTTATAGAGTTTATCCCAATCCTACTAGGAGTCCAAGATTAGCAGTAATCCTAAGTCCATTGAAGCTAGGCTTCTATTGGGATTAGGTTTGTGTTGACTATAAAAGAGAGGCACCCTCATGGGTCTAAGGTATGTCTTTTATGCTCTGTCTAGTGAGTTAAGAACTATTAGTTATCTTTGAGAGATATCGTCGGAGTGCCCCCGGGTGGACGAACTACCGCGGGATTCTTATCTTTCTGTGACAGGTTGTTCGGGCTTAATCTATTCTGCCGTTGTTCTCCAGCTGAGTGCTTGATTGGCAATGTGGTCGGAAATCAACACCCACACCTACAATGAAGCTTGCGATGGAGCTTGATATATAGGGAGAGAAGTTTTTACGCATCGTGTTTTGCAAAAAGTGAACTGGCAATCAAATAGCGTGTATTTGCATTAGGTGAGGTTTTGTAATTTTTCATTATTTGGTCCCTAAAATGCCAATAATATGTATTGACAACCAAAATTATTGGTCTGAAAAAGTTACACAGCATAACAGTAAGATATCAAGAGTCATTTTTGTATTTTTATAAGTAAATTATCATAAGTTTAGATTTGTCTCTAAAAGATTATTTTTTGGGACTAAATCTAATTAGTCCCTAAATATTAGTCTCCAAAAGACTAATTTCTTGTAGTGAGCGAGCTAGAGACAGAGGGGAGATTAGGATTTTTTTTTTTTTAAAAAAATTCTGTTTTCCTGGGTACAAAACGACGTCGTTTTACAATCGGCGACCAAATTTTTTTGTCGCTAAAATTTTTCAATTCCGCCTCCACGTTTTAAATTTTCCTCCCAAACTTTTGGTGACCAAAAGACCAGATTAGTCGCAGAAAAGGTACCTTCGCCGACAAATTTTTTTAGTCGTCAAATCTCAATCAACGGCGACTAAAATATTAGTCGCTAAAAGTACTAATTTGGCGACTAATTTTTTTTTTTGGTTGCTAAAAATAAGTTTTTGGTGACCAAATTTTTTGGTCGCCAAAGAAAAAAAAATTTATTTTCCATTCCGCAACTAAATTGTTTTAGTAGCCAAAACTCAATATACGACAACTAAAATATTTTTGGTCTGGGAAAATAAGCTTTTGGCAACTAAAATTTTGGTCGCCAATTTTACAATCAACTTATTTTTGATCTTCCGTGACCAACTTATTTTTTGGTTGCCAAAATGTGACCTTCCGCGACCAAATTTGTAGTTGGTCGCCAAAAGCATACCACTTTCTGTGATCAACTCATTTTTTGGTCACCAAAATATGACCTTCTGCGACCAACTCATATTTGGTAGCCAAAAATAATGATCATTCGCTACTAATTAATATTTAGTCGCCAAAAAGTAACTTTTAGCTACCAAATTTTATATTGGTCACGAAAAGTAATCGCTAAAAGTGCAGATTCTTGTGGTGAATACACTTATAAAAAAATTTCAAAATTTCTTATTATCAAAATGAGGGACAATTAAGTAGAAAACATCGCTCAATAAATAAGACTAATCAATAGGACTACTAACTAATTATCCCTATTTTTTGGGGTACAAGTCACATAACTTGAATTACAGATAACAAAGTTAACAAATAACATACACGTCGGGTTTGGGTGGAACCTTAACCCGAGCCGTTTACCCATTTTAACAAGTTAAAGTTCAAATCGGAATCGATTGGAGCCAGAGATATTTTGCAGTCAAGAGGACTCTTTTGAAAAGGAGCTCTCTTCCATTTCCGTTGTAACCAAAAGAAAAAAAGAAAAGGAGCTCTCTTCTTCTCCACCGAGCACAAGGTATAAATTCTACACACACACACACAAATATATATTATCTGAATTGAAGCAATTACTTTTCTCTTCTTGGAAAAATTCTCGAATCTCGATTCGCAGATCTGTTATATACGCAACACACAATTGTAACTACATGTGAGTATACACTGTTGATTACAATTCAAAAAAAAAATATTTTTATCCAGGTTCAATTCCATGCTTCAGTGACTTTCTGTTATTATTCACTTCAATTTTTACGATAAATTTAACATTTTGATGATGGGTTGGTTGTACTGGGTAATTCATTCACTTTTGCGTATTGTTATTGTTGATTCTTGAATTAAATTATAGAGTGTAGAAGCTATGGGTGGACATGATGACTCAGGTTCGTCTGAGAAGAAATCAATTGGGGTTGCCAATGATGTCCCAACTTTGAATGCTGAGAATATGCAGAACAACATGAAAGCTGTCTATTACTGGTTTGTTTCTAGACCTCCCTGCAATTTCTCATGATGAACAAAGAAAAATAAATTGACTAACTTGGCTGGTTAATTACAATAAATTACAATTATATGGCACGTTCCAATATGGCTAGAATGCATGAAATTAGGGGTTTCCTAGGCAACTTCGGATAAGATGCATTGGATTTTGGCAACCCGTAGACGTGTCCACAGCCTATCTATCATGGATACTAGATTTGGTGTTTTGCACACGTTGATCATGCTATGTTTTAGATTTCCTAATTCAATATGTGGAAATGAACTTATTGTAGAATGCATTTTGTCATCTCTATGAACTGCTAATTATTGGCTTCTATCTCTGCACCTTCTTTCTCCAACGTAAGCCAAATTTGCTTGGGTTGTTGTGGTTATACTTTTTGTGAAGCCATGTCTCAAGTCCTAAGATAGCTGGGTTCTGTTTTCATAAAAAAGGAAAGCTATTTGAAGAATGTGGGATGAGACAATAATGAAACCTATGTTTTAAAATAGATCTAGTCCTGCATAGAAGTTGATGTTGGGAAAAAGACTTTCATAGCTGAATTTGGGATTTAACACATTGTTGAGTTGTTCAATTCTGATTGAGAACCATACATGTTCTAATGTACATCGTTATGTTTTCATACTTTCCTTGTTCACAAACTTGTTCCGCCAAGCATTGTTGGTTGATATTAAAAGCTGAGGTTTGTCTATTGGGCAGTCGAACATTTATGTGTATTATTGGTGGAGTTGTTGCTGGAATTTTGGGATTTACTGGGTTGACTGGATTTATCTTTTATTTCCTTGTCATGGCAATTACTTCGGTAGGACTCATAGCAAAGGCGGGGTTTTCCATCCATTCATACTTTGATTCCTGGAACCAGATTATATTTGATGGCATTTTGGGCGGGCTTATGGTACGCTTCTCTATTAATTTTCAATTATTTATTTCAAGTTTATTTCTTAAAATGTTTCCCTTGATTCTTACTTTGAAGACATTGATTTCACTCATGCATAAAATTCTTCACTTTTTGACATATCTTCCTCTATTCTCCAAAGCATACCACTTTCTGTGATCAACTCCTTAAGTTTTGTGAGTGTCCGTCTTTTGAACAATACAGTGGGAGTACTCCTCTACTTGGCTCATCCTACTTTAATTCCATGATTTATATCACCGCCAATCTCTCCTTATCTATAATTAAGTGTAGTAGCTAAATTTCTCACTCTTTGGTACGCTGAAAGTCGATGAGTTTTGCTTCATCCTTATTTGTATTTTTAGTTTTGCTAAAATTATATTCCATGTATGCTCCTTTCCATTTTAGAGCTTCTCTTCAAATGATGGTTTATTATTTGCTCCTGTTTTTATTATTTCAATTAAAATAATTACACAATTAAATGAGTGTATGATGGAACCTGCTTTGAAGTAAAAAGCTAAGAACTAAGCCATAAATTTAAGATGAAGGGTTTGTGAAATTGCGAGTTTACTTGTTTGCCTTGTGGTTCTTCCTACTATATTCATAGATCTATGTTTTTGGGTTAGAAGATGCAATCTCCAATATTATCAAGCCTAGATGAAGAACCCCATTGCCATAATTTTTGGGGGATCCTTGCGTTATGATGGTGCATGTGTACTTTAACAGCGTTTATTCATCATTTTGTTCTATTTCCTTTTCTTTGTTAACTGGCTAACACTATTTTGGTTTTTTGCAGTCATTCGTGCTGTTTTGGACGTATCCTTTTCATAATTCAGAAGATTATGCATAGAATAACTAAGAAAATTAAGAAAACACAAGTGCAGACAGAGTCTGCAGACCCCATGTAAGGATGATGCCAATTATGTTGCCAACGTCAAAACCATCAAAATTATGTGGATCTTGTGTTCCTAAATTTCTACATTTTTCCACAGCCACATAAAAACACATTTTGCTATCTAGAAGGTAGTGAAATTAGGCCATATCATCTTATCACTGGAATATTCCAATATTTATCGTGTTGATTGAGGTTGGACCATTATTCACCATTAGTTTTTGACTATCAAACCCTTGCATATATATGCATACCTTTTTTCTGTGGCCAAGGCATCAACATGGGTAGTAGTAGTAGTTGCTCTTGGGTGCAATTAGGTACTGCCATGGAACTTCTTGGAATGTGCTCCATTCAAAGCATAAGAAATTTCTTCTATTTTTTCAAGAGAATTCCAATAACAGCAATTGGTTGCATCAGGAATGTAGTTCTTCCTGAAAATGTGTTTTTTACGAAATCTTTTGAAGTCTTAAACTGATTTGAGTTTGCACTTTCCTACAAATGATCATACTATTATTGCCACTTTCCTTGACTTGAAAAGATTTGCTTACGACTTCGTGCACATATTCTGAGGGGATGTCTGCTGCATCGTGCGTGGAATAGAGGAGATGATGCTGTCACCGCTAGCTGCTGTGATGGATTCGACAAACTGAAATGCTGTGGTGTTGCTAAAAGATGGGGAGACATTTTTCAGATTTGGACATCGTGTATTCAAGTTAAACCATTTAAGTTTTCTCCCCTTTTTTGTATTTGTTTTATTATAGTGATTGTTTGGCTGGAGAAAAATGATAAAAAAATTTATATGTGAACTTGGGAAATCCAACCCCCTGCAAAATCTCAGTTAAGCTTGTTAGCTGTTTTGGGTTTTATTGGTGATGAAAGCCGGGCCTAAAATATGGATTTATTTTTTCTTTTATTTTCGTAGTTAATCAACATTTTGGTGATACAGATCAACACCCTCCTCCTGTGCCAAAGATCTTTTGATGAAATGGAAAAACAATCAGTGTTTACAAACAAACAACTTTTAGAAAGAACAAAAAAAAAAAAAAAAAGAGTGACAATTGAGTGCTTTTTTTAACATCCCAAACCGGATTCAAGTAAATTTGATATGCTTTTGATATAGGTAATGAAATTGCACATTGTAAATTCACTTAAGTCTGTAGTGATGGAAAATTTAAGAGAGAACAAGTGTAATCACACACAATATTGGTGTAATACTAACCAGAATACTTGTAAAACCATATATAACCCTTAAATTAGGGGTTGAATTCATCAACTAGCTTTTGCTAGGTTGTCCCAAAAACAAATATATATATACTATTAACAACAACGACTCACCATCTGCAAATTCCGTCACTGCGATGAAAGTAGAAGAGTTTGAATCGAGAGAGAGAGAAGAAGCTTCATCATCATCAAACCCCAAAAATAAATATTTTCTCAAAGCAGCTAACAATATATAAATTCACATAGTATTTTTAATCATTCAAAGTCTGGGAATAAACCCAATCTGCAACCAAACAATTAACCTGAAGTAGAAGTACTTCAACCTTATCTAACATATTAACTAACGCCTTACACCAGATCTAGACAGAAGTCCTTTGAAAATCCCTATAACTATGCATTTTCAAAATGAAAGCTACAACCCTAATAATACAGCCCCATGAAGTATCCTATCCTTCCTACAAAGAGGTCAGATGGATTTAGGAGAGCATGAGAGGCAGAGAGATTGACCGTGTGTGTCAATTCAATCCACGAAAGGGGCCTGCCCCTATCGTTTGGACGGTCTCTCATCATCCTCTCCTCCATCATCATCATCGTCATCAGAGTCATCTTTGTCTGATCTCTTCCTTTTTGCTGACAACTCAACCTTCCCACCGGCACCATCTTCATCATTGTCCTCATCCTCTTCATCAAAATCTTCTCCGTCACCATTCTCTTCTGGTTCAAAATCATTGGCATCTTCCTCATCTTCAACACGAGCCAAGGGTCGAACCAGGTACTCTGTTCCCATATCCTCCTAGGTGATCATTTAAAGGTATGCTATCAGCAGATAGTTAGAAAGAAGAAGATCAAATGCAATATGCATGTTGTCAACTAGAAGAACACACATTCAAGTGGTGAAGAATCAAACTAGTGGCTCTGGTTCCCAACATTTCAGGAAGGAACCTTTTTTTTTTTTGCTTTGAATTCTGATCTGTAGTTTTGAAAATATCTCATCACTCCCAAAAGTTTCTTTTTCTTTTTTTTTTCCCCGCCAAATCGCGACATGAATTTCTTATTCAAACACAACATAAATTCCTGATTCAAACACAACTTTCAGAGAAAAAGCGAACCCATAAAAAGGTGGACTTCAAGGGTGCATTAAATATATCAAGGGAAAATGTCATAATCAGCAATAGAGGCAGGGAAAAGAGAGTGATACAAGGGCAATCCATATCCAAATGCTCTCAATCTTAAAAATTCGAGTAAAAAACACCCTGAATCCTAGTCCATTCTTGACTCAAACTCATATCAAATTCAGTTTTATTTAAATTGTTACTCAAATGAGGAGAGACTCAAATCCGAACTCAAATGTCTAATAAAGAAAATATTTGTTTCATTTATTTACTAAATTGCCATTTTAAGGATATGATGGGAACTGAGTCATGATTGAAGAATATATTTGACTTAAAATTTCATTCAAATTCAAGTAAAAAATTGAGTCATGATTGGAGATGGCCTAATCCTGTTATCCCAAGGTCTAAAGTCTTCACAACAAATGATCTACCGATTATGATTCTGAATTTCAAAAAAAAAAAAAAAAAAAAAAAAAAAAAGAAACTTGCATAGGTTTATAGACAAATCAGAGCTGCTTATTTATGCACACAGACAAGACAAAGTCAACTTATGAACAGATTTACAGCAAAAACGGGAGGACAAACGTAACAGAAGAAACTCACAGATACAGACAGATATGGACAAAATAAGAGAGTAACACAAATATCATGGAACGATCAAGCTTTTTCCTCACACAAGCAACGAATCAATAGCCATAAAAAAGCAAAATTTGAGATTAGTCAACTGAGCAAAACCGTTTGGCCATGGAAAACAGTTGCTAGACTTTTTTTTTTCCTGGAAAACTATTTGAAAACTCGTCTGTGTGGGAATATGTTATACGGTGAAGCTTCCAAACATCATCGAGTTCGAAAAATATGTTTTAGAATTCAATATCAGAAAAAACGAATAGAGTAGAAAACAGACAGAACAAACAACACAGAGAGAGAGAGAGAGAGATAATAACACAACCACCAGATCTGGACAAATTCAACAACTAGTCTATCAAAAATTACAAAAACAAAATAGGTTTCAGCAAAATCACCTGTTCTTCTTCGCCTTCCTCATCGTTCGCTTCGCCCTCGTCCTCCTCGTCGTCGTCATCGTCATCGTCATCGTCGTCGTCGTCGTCGTCGTCGTCGTCTTCATCCTCCTCATCATCCTCCTCATCGTCATCTACTGTCTGAACCGGAGGGCCACCAGAGTTCTGCAACACCTCCTTCGCATCGTCCTCTTCATCATCCTCGTCATCGTCTTCGTCCTCACCATCGTCATCCTCGTCATCGTCCTCTCCATCTTTCTCCTCCTCCACACCATCAATCTTCTCAGTATCCTCCTCTTCATCTTCACGAATTTCGTCGAATTCTCCTTCTCCTTCTCCTTCTACTTCTGCTTCTCCCTCCATGATTTTCATCTCCTGGAAATTTCCCGAGAAAATCCGATAGAAAATCAAAATTTTAAATCCAAAAAATTGAAAAAAATTCAGGGGAGGAGAGAGAGAAGGGAATAGCAAGAGCTTCTTCGTTCTAGCTCAACGCAATACTTCGATCTCAGCCGTTGAATCACGATCGATGACGTGTTAGCTGATCGGACGGCTCTCGTGAGGCGAACTCGTATTTCTTGTGCTACAAGGCCTCTGCGTATGTCTTTTTCAGCTCATCACACACGGTTGTCGCGTTCCACACGTATGAGAGTATATAGGGTTAGGGGCTGGGCTTTATCTGAGATTTTATTTTCGAGGAATATTCCACGGAACCGTAACGCCACAGGATTTCTCTATACGTGCTAAGTCCTAGGCTTGCATCATCTACTAAGGCCTAATTTGGTATCTCTAAAAAAATTTAAAAAGTTAAAAAGTCACTATCTTATTTAAGTCATATCATCTTATTTAAGTTATATCAGTTCTCTAACACATCACTTCAAACTCAACTCATATCTAACTCATATTTCATAAAAAGTTAAAAAATACACTTATTTATATCATCCCAAACTACCCCTAATATTTCGCCACCTCATTGGAAAAAAGATTCCGGTCGGTCCGACTTGATAGTCAGTGGATGATGACTGGCATAATTTTTAGCTTTTATATGGATAATTTTGTAATCCATTACGTAATTATAAATTTATTCATATATATTTTTAGATAACGAACATCAATAATTTAATTAGCTTAACAAACAGTTTGTTCATAAAATGGTAGTGTAAAAATGGTCTATGATCTGTAGGCGACTCGAAATCTATCTGCAATTTGGGATGAACCCGACCCGTTTAAGCCTATTTGAGTCCAGGCTCAAGCCCAGCCTGATTGTGCTTGGGCCTGGGCTATCATTTTGAAGCTCGGCATCGGCTCACTTAAGGCACACTCATGGCACGGCTTAAGGCCTGGTAACGGTGAACCAAACCTGGCATCAAATTTAAAATTTGGTGAAAAAGTCACTTTTTTAAGCTCCAACGGTTTCACCAAATCGATATCAAATCCAGAATTCAGCAAAAATGGTACCAAACTGAGTGCAGGCGAAGCATTTTACCAAAGCACTGTTCCTAACCGTTGGGATGAGACGAACGGGTCGACCATCCGGTTGACCAACCGATCGCCCCGGAGAAAGTTCAGACCGTTCACAAAAAGGTTCAAACCAGTCCCCAAAAAAAAAAAAAAATTGCCTAGGTGGTCGACCACCCGGTCGACCGGCCGGTTGACCACCCGGTCGACCACCAAAAGTTCAAAAAATTCAAAAAAAAAAAGGTTCAAACAGGTAAAAAAATAAAAATAAAAAATTTTTGCCGTTACCGGTTGACCGGCCGGTCGACCGCCCGGTCAACCAACCGGTTGCCCAGCGCAAATTTGATGAAACGGATTTGATGTTGAACCGTTGGAGCGCGAAGTATCAAATTAAGGAAATAACCCCTTTTCGACTCAGATTTGGTGAAACATTTGGTACACCGTTGAAGATACTCTAACACATCACTTCAAACTTAACTCATATCTAACTCATATTTCATAAAAAGTTAAAAAATACACTTATTTATATCATCCCAAACTACCCCTAATATTTCGCCACCTCATTGGAAAAAAGATTCCGGTCGGTCCGACTTGATAGTCAGTGGATGATGACTGGCATAATTTTTAGCTTTTATATGGATAATTTTGTAATCCATTACGTAATTATAAATTTATTCATATATATTTTTAGATAACGAACATCAATAATTTAATTAGCTTAACAAACAGTTTGTTCATAAAATGGTAGTGTAAAAATGGTCTATGATCTGTAGGCGACTCGAAATCTATCTGCAATTTGGGATGAACCCAACCCGTTTAAGCCTATTTGAATCCGAGCTCAAGCCCAGCCTGATTGTGCCTGGGCCTAGGCTATCTGCTGTGGGTAAATTTTTATTTATTTATTTATTTTTTTTGGGCTACGTCATTTTACTTTTTGGCATAATTTTTAGCTTTTATATGGATAATTTTGTAATCCATTACGTAATTATAAATTTATTCATATATATAAATTTTTTTAGATAGCGAACATCAACAATTTAATTAGCTTAACAAACGGTTTGTTCATAAAATGGTAGTGTAAAAATGATCTGTGATCTGTAGGCGACTCGAAATCTATCTGCAATTTGGGATGAACCCGACCCGTTTAAGCCTATTTGAGTCCAGGCTCAAGCCCAGCCTGATTGTGCTTGGGCCTGGGCTATCATTTTGAAGCTCGGCATCGGCTCACTTAAGGCACACTCATGGCACGGCTTAAGGCCTGGTCCAACCCAAGCCCAGTGTCTTTTTTTGTAAAAAATAATAAAATTTTGGTAAAAAAAAATGTTCAAACCCGCTCAAGTCCGACCTAAGCCTGAGCCTAGGCCTACCAGCCCGGCCGGCCCAAGGCTTGAATACCCCCTGGATTTGGGTCTAATTTCTTAGCCTATGGGCCAACTCGGCCCAGCCTAAATTTTGACAGAAACCCGCTGTAGACACCCCATTTTTGACCGTCCTCAAGACTTGGACATCATCATTTGAGCACTTGATGATCATCCATGCTCGTATTCGTTTTGAGTTCCCGAAGGTCTCGGCTGCGCACCTTGCCTTAGGATCTCTCAACTTGTTTGTTTTTGTACTTGATTGTAGACCAAGAACTTGTGGTTTTGCTTCTGAGGGAAGATGGTGGCTTTTTGGCCATCCCCTCAACCCATCGGCTAAGGCCTTGTGTCATCGGCCTTGTTTTCTTGCCATCGGCCATAAGTGTTGGCCGATCGACATTTCTTTTGGTCGATCGGCCATATTTTTTGGCCGAGACCTTTCCACCTGCTTTTGCAGATATTTTTCTGCCGGCTGTGACAGTTGGTGAGCACAATTCTCATCCTCCATACACGTGTATAGAGGGATTGCATCAAAACTCAAACTTGTTCAACAAGCTTGAGAATTGAAATTCTATAAGAAGGGAGGCCCCTCTCCCTTTCCAGAGGTTCTGAAATCTGGGTATACAAAACATATATCACTCTCTCTCTATATTTTATCTCTCTCTCTCCATTTGCTCTTGTTTGTACTCAAAAGTGTGATTTCTTCATAGTATTGCACACAAACACTTACTAGAACACCATTCTTTTGTTGATGAGGTACTAAGGAGTTGGTTTTAGCGTTTTTGGATTGGTTTAAGCTCAGAAAGAATGCTAGAGTTGTGTTCTTGAAGGTGTTCTTCAAGGGTGAACAACTAACCTTTTAATCCCTCATTCTTGCTTAAGCTTTTAGACCTATTTGCATGCTGATTTAAGCTTAACTTTCTACTGTAAAAAGTTCTGATTTTTCATGCTTGAGATCTTTGTTTAAGGTCACTTTTGTGTTGGGGGTTGTTTACCCCCTCTTAGGCCTTGTTTGGCCTTGCTTTTGTGCCTTCTTTTTAAGCCTTTGGGACCACCTTGTTTTGGCCTTCTCACTACTGAAACTCAGAGGAATTTCAGTGATGGGAATGGTGTTTTGAGGTCTATAGACACCCCATTTTTGACCGACCTTAAGACTCGGACGTCATCGACTGAGCGCTTAGTGATGGTGCATATTGTGCTCGTTCTGAGGTTACAGAGTCTTGACTGAGAGGAGTTGGTTTTAGCGTTTTTGGATTGGTTTAAGCTCAGAAAGAATGCTAGAGTTGTGTTCTTGAAGGTGTTCTTCAAGGGTGAACAACTAACCTTTTAATCCCTCATTCTTGCTTAAGCTTTTAGACCTATTTGCATGCTGATTTAAGCTTAACTTTCTACTGTAAAAAGTTCTGATTTTTCATGCTTGAGATCTTTGTTTAAGGTCACTTTTGTGTTGGGGGTTGTTTACCCCCTCTTAGGCCTTGTTTGGCCTTGCTTTTGTGCCTTCTTTTTAAGCCTTTGGGACCACCTTGTTTTGGCCTTCTCACCACTGAAACTCAGAGGAATTTCAGTGATGGGAATGGTGTTTTGAGATCTGTAGACACCCTATTTTTGACCGACCTTAAGACTCGGACGTCATCGACTGAGCGCTTAGTGATGGTGCATATTGTGCTCATTCTGAGGTTACAGAGTCTTGACTGAGAGCCTTGCCTCCGGACTTTGGGACTCTTTTGTGCTTCGCCTCGGTTTACGAACCAGGTTCTATTTCTCTTCTCGAAGGAAGGGAGAGGTCTCGTAGACCATCTCTCAATGGCCGTAGGCTACGTTTCGTGGTCGTAAGCCATTGTTCCCGTTTGGAGACCAGTTTTCGATTTTCGGAGCCGTCGGCCGTGCGCCTCGATTTGGGATCGCTTAACTTTCTCCGTTTGCTTCGATTTTTGGAACACACATTGTTTCCTCTCCCTAGAGGGACACTATGGCCCGGGAGACCACCTTCGTGGTCGTACGCCACTTCCGGTGCTTGATAGTCAGTTTTCGGGGTACCCTGCTGCGCGTTTTGACCCCCGAACTCTCGTTTTGCATCGGTGTGGGTTCATTTTTGGCATGGACCCTATTTTCATTGTTAGGAAGGTGGTACAAGGGTGGGAGATCACATTTTCTTCTTGGAGACCACCTTTCTCTTCACCGCCCGATTTTTTTGTTAGAGAGCTGGTCTCCCTTACTTTTAAGCCACATTTACTGGTCTCCCACCATACCACTGGCTTTGTTTCAGTGTGGAGACCACCAATTACCCTTGGAGACTACTTTTCTCTCTCTTCCAGCCAGTTTTCTTGTCGGGAAACTGGTCTCCCTCACTTTTGGGATACAACTACTGGTCTCCCATATCACCACTGAGTTGTATTCACCTAGGAGACCACCAATTTGGGCTGCCGACCACCTAGTTTTGAGTTGGACCTTTTGACCTGGCTGGCCGACCACAAAAAGTGGTTGGCTGACCGCCTGGCCTGGTCGGCCGACCACTTGAACTGGTCGGCCTACTCCCTCCTGTTTTGTCTTCCTGAGTTGCTTCCAACTGTGCCAGCTGGGAGGCATTTGCTGCATCTTCCATACACGTGTATGGAGGATGTTTAATCTTGGTTTTAAGCTTCCAAGAGAAGATTTGGACCCTTGGCTCTATAAAGGTAGGCCTCTTCTTCCTTGGCAAGGGTTCAGAACTTGGTGAGAGCATACACCATATATCTCTCTTTGTCTCTCCCTTTAAGTTTCAAAGAGTGAAGTTCTTGCCCTCCTTTGCACACCACCTCACAACCTAACCTCTCCATCATCCATCTAA